AATCAACACCACAGCGCTCTCCAACGTCATGACAAGAGGAATGCCTTCACTGTTCATGTCAGCACTGACAGCCATCTCCTCCAGTGGTCCCAGGCCTTCATCATAAAACAAGGCCTGCCCCCACGACAAAGGTAGATGGTTGAAGCGGTGTTCATCCATTCTACCGACAACATGCCTGATTACTGACATGACCTGACCACTTAGTAGATGTATATATAACTTTATGCAACTCTTACCTTGTATGCCCTGAAGAAGCTATATAGCATGAAGACCTTCAGTATATTTGTGTTTTCTTGTTCTTCCCTTCGTTGTTCCATTTGAAAAAAGAGAAAAAAAAGAGAAAAAAAAAGAAAAAAATATATATAAATATATATATAAATATATATATATATCAAAGTGTGTGTGTGTGTGTGTGTGTGTGTGTGTGTGTGTGTGTGTGTGTGTGTGTGTGTGTGTGTGTGTGTGTGTGTGTGTGTGTGTGTGTGTGTGTGTGTGTGTGAGTGTGAGTGTGAGTGTGAGTGTGAGTGTGAGTGTGAGTGTGAGTGTGAGTGTGAGTGTGAGTGTGAGTGTGTGTGTGTGTGTGTGAGAGAGAGAGAGAGAGAGAGAGAGAGAGAGAGAGAGAGAGAGAGAGAGAGAGAGAGTGTGTGTGTGTGTGTGTGTGTGTGTGTGTGTGTGTGTGTGTGTGTGTGTGTGTGTGTGTGTGTGTGTGATGCTGACAGGGGGGATAGACTTCCAGCCTTGGGGTCTCTTATGACGAGTCGCCAGGCAGGCCCTCAGCCCATCTCTGGTTCTTCACAACAGGTCTAGTCAAGCTACCCCAGCCACAACTTCCTAGGTCTTCTAATAAGCCTCCTCCACGCAGGATTGTCTGTGAAGAGACAACCTGATTGGCAAGGTCATTCACAGGGAAATGAGCTACGTGCCCATATAGCCTGAGTTGGCAGTCATGGATTATGCAAGTAACAGTTCTCATGCCAGTCTCTTGGTGAAGTCATCATTGGGACACATGGTTCTGCCAACTGTACTCCATGATCCAGCATAGGGACTTGTTGCAAAAGGCAATGAGACGTGACTCCAAGGCACTAGATACCGTCCAGGTTTCACATCTATAAAGCAAAACTGGCAGTATCAAGGCCTTAAAAACATATAACTGAGTTCCAGGCTCCTGCTGCCAGACTTCCTGGTCTGACAGCCCAAAGACATAAACTACACTACCAAGCCCTCTGTGACATCAACATCCTCGCCCCAAGTACGTATCAACTGAATAGGTTTTCCTAACAGGCCCCCAAAATCCTGGATTTTGGTCTTAGTCCAGGAGACCTGCAAGCCCAGAAGCTGCTATCAGAGATTCCAGAGACTCAGATAGAATCATTGGCAAAGTCATGGTCCATGACCTTGATACTGCTCAATGTTGCTCCACACTAAGTTTGGAAAGTAGCTCTGCCCATCATCCAGTCCATGGAAGTGTTCAAAAGTGTTGGTGCAAAGACACAGACTTACCTCACTCCTGAGTTAACTGGAAGAAGCTCAACAGGCCCCCACCATACTTTACAGCACTTTCAGTACCAGTATACAAGCTTGCTATTAATCCAATAATCTGTGTCAGAATTCCCCGAAGTGTCGGGATCTCCATAACAATTTGTGATGCCCTGAATAAAATGCCTTCTTGAGGTTGATGTAGGCTGTGAGCAGCCCATGACTGAAGTGATGACAATGTTCTACAATGACTCTAAGTGTTAGGATATGGTCTATTGTAGACTTGCCAGGAGTGAACCCAAATTGCTCAGGTCTTTTGAGCCTTAGCAGGTGGTTGCGGATCCGTTTCAGTACAATTTGGGCGAAAATCTTACGTGGTATACTGAGCAATGCGATGCCACAATAGTTGTTACATTCCCAACGATCCCCATTCCCCTTCCAGAGAGAGATGACCACACCCCTCAATAGGTCAGTGGGAATGGAACCAGACTGCCAGATGGCAGTCAGGACACCTCACAAGCCCCGTGCTATAGGCTCACCCCCAGCCTTTGGCAGCTCAGCAGGGATATCGCATACACCTGCAGCTTTCTCATCATTCAGCTTAGAGATTGCCTCTCTAACCACATTCAAGGTATGGAGATCTTCACTGATGGGTGGGTCAGGCACAGGGATTGTGGCATCCCTTGCATCTAGACTAACTGCTGGGCAGTCTAACTGATACAATTGCTCAAAATATTCAGTCTAACATTCACGAACCCCAATGTGATCTTAGATGATTCATCCATCCACTGAGTGGATCGCAAATATCCGTGAGGAGGGATTGGAGTTCAGTTTTCTCAGGGCTTGGTAGGCAAGACAAAGATCATTTTCTAGGAAATGGCTTTCTACCTCTACAGCAAGATTCCTGATGAACTGTTCTTTATCCCTTCTCAGCAAAGTCTGAGCCCTGCGTACTAAGGAACGGTACAAATCCCAATTGCCGTTCAGACAAGCCGATGCAACACGCATCTGTGGCCTCCAACAT